GCCCCAATTTGGTGACCAATTTTAGCTCCTCCATGTCCCAGTATGTAGAGGGAATAGAAGATGAGTAGAAAGCAGTAGTGCAGAGTAATAAGGAGGGAAGTGGGAGGGAGAGAAAAAAAAGGGGGGGGGGAGACTCCAAACCGTGGGGTCTGAAGTTTGCCTGGCTTAAGGGGGGACAAAACAAAACCAAAAAACGAATAAGCTTGGCAATGGGTCACGGAGCGATTTAAACCACAGCCAGCTCCGGGTTCACAGCTTCAGATGAAAGAAAATACATGTAAATGGTTGGCACTCGAACAGTTTAAACAGACAAAGTATAACAGCTGCCAAAACATCGCAGCAGGCGTCGCCGCCTATCCCCCGCGGGAAACAGAACCGGGGGCGAGCAACGCGCCACCCGCCTGAAGCCCCTCCCCAGGCTGACCACCCCATCCCCAAGCAAGGGTGGGAAGGGGCGGACACCCCAGGGAAGGTCCCAAAGAGGTCCGGCGCACATAAACAATGGTAAGAGACACCAGGCAGGCCGCCACCCCCCCTCTCCCCCCACGCCGTCTCCAGCACGAACAGCGAATAAAAAGGGTAAATAATATTTCCTAAGAGCATGACCCGAAGATATGAGGCACAAAGTCACCAAAGGGAATCTCCTCCCAGGGATCTCCCCTGGCCTCTCCACAAACCCCTCCGTAATGGTGGGAGGCAGCGAGTAGCCCAGGGAAAGCCCCAGGGGGGTCTAGTGCAAACAAGTGGAGGCAAAAAGCAACCGTGTAAATCTCTACATTGCAGAGGTATCTAGCGAAAGTATCAAAAAGCTAGGATAACCAGTCTCGAGAATGCTAAACATTAGGTTTATATACAGTGGGGCAAAAAAGTATTTAGTCAGCCACCAATTGTGCAAGTTCTCCCACTTAAAAAGATGAGAGAGACCTGTAATTGGCATCATAGGTAGACCTCAACTATGAGAGACAAAATGAGAAAACAAATCCAGACAAATCACATCGGCTGATTTGGAACAAATTTATTTGCAAATTATGGTGGAAAATAAGTATTTGGTCACCTACAAACAAGCAAGAGTTCTGGCTCTCACAGACCTGTACCTTCTTCTTTAAGAGGCTCCTCTGTCCTGCACTCATTACCTGTATCAATGGCACCTGTTTGAACTTGTTATCAGTATAAAAGACACCTGTCCACAACCTCAAACAATCACACTCCAAACTCCACTATGGTGAAGACCAAAGAGCTGTCAAAGGACACCAGAAACAAAATTGTAGACCTGCACCAGGAATTGAAGATGAAACGTGGCTGGGTCTTTCAACATGACAATGATCCCAAACATACCACCCGGGCAACGAAGGAGTGGCTTTGTAAGAAGCATTTCAAGGTCCCGGAGTGGCCTAGCCAGTCTCCAGATCTCAACCCCATAGAAAATCTTGGGAGGGAGTTGAAAGTCCGTGTTGCCCAGCGACAGCCCCAAAACATCACTGCTCTAGAGGAGATCTGCATGGAGGAATGGGCCAACATACCAGCAACAGTGTGTGCCAACCTTGTGAAGACGTACAGGACACGTTTGACCTCTGTCATTGCCAACAAAGGATATATAACAAAGTATTGAGATGACCTTTTGATATTGACCAAATACTTATTTTCCACCATAATTTGCAAATAAATTGGTTCCAAATCAGCCAATGTGATTTGTCTGGATTTTTTTTCTCATTTTGTCTCTCATAGTTGAGGTCTACCTATGATGCCAATTACAGGCCTCTCTCATCTTTTTAAGTGGGAGAACTTGCACAATTGGTGGCTGACTAAATACTTTTTTGCCCCACTGTAACTGCGGTATGCCCGCGGCTAGTTGCTACGCGCTCAGGTCAATATGAGGAAAGCTCAGTAGCAATTTCACCATCCTAAGAACATGACCTGAGGATATGAGGCTCGAAGTCCCCACAGGGTATCTCCTCCCAGGGATCTCCACGGGCCTTCCCACAAGCCACTCCAAAAAGGTGCGAGGCAGCGGTCAGCCCAGAGAGAGCCCCAGGGGGGTTCAATGTAAACCGGTGAAGGCAAGGAACAACCTCATAAATCTTTATACTGCAGAGGTATCTAGTGGTATTATCAAAAAGCTAGGATAACCAGGCTCGAGGAGCACACCTTAGAAATGCTAGACATTAAGCATAGATAACTACGGTATGCCTGTGACTAGTTACCAGGGTTGCTGGGGGTTGCTTTGGAACAGGCGAGCCTAGAGCTCTCCTTGTTTGTTACAGTCCCTTCTGAGAACATTAGAAAATCATCCTATATGCCCGCTTTGCTGTGGCACAATCCTCTGATGTTATCTATGCACCAAGGGAGAGGGCAATCTAAATTTTCGACCAGGTCTCATGGATAAACAATGTTATGGTCCCTGGGAACCATCTAAAACTTGACTCAACGACTATTTAACTTCGCCAGGCGTGCCTTCGTTGTCTGGCTTCCAGTCTCTAACTAGCCCACCTCTTTCTAGGTGGGCTACCCCCACACTGCAAGGTTTAGGTGCTCATTTGTTTTTAGGTGCTAAAATAACAAACTTATCACCCAAAGTTCTGAGCCGGCCAGCTGTCACGGCACTCCCTCCAGCCTGTCCCCTCCTCCTCCGCAGATTTGAATGTTACACACACAGACATGATGATTTACTGGACCTTCGGCTGCTGCAGAGGAAGGGGAGAGACATTCTGGGATCTGATCCAAGAAGCCAGCTCAAAGCTTTTGGTGAATAATTCTTTGTTTGTTTTTTTAACTTGACTTTAACCAGTTGACATCCGTGGTGTTAAACCCCCTTCCCATCCAGGCCATTTTTCAGTATTCAGCGCTGCGGTACTTTGACTGACATTTATTCCGTCATGCAGCGCTGTACTGAAATTAATTTTATACCCTTTTTTGGGGACAGATAGAGCTTTCTTTTGGTGGTATTTATTCACCACTGGGGGTTTTATTTTTTTACTATATTAAGGAAAAAAGAGCAGTTAACCCTTGCAGTGCGGGAAAGGCCCCAAGGGGGCAAGGGCTAATAAATTAAAATCCTGGAGTTCTGCTTTAAGTACCTTTTTGAATGATTGTGTGTTTGAGAAGAGGTTGCTTAGGCTCATGCTGTTTCTTGTGCACACCTGTCAAAACCCCCAGACAGTTATTGCCCCCCGCTTTTGGGCAAATGGGAAAGGGGCCTTGAACTCGAGTTTACCCCAGAACAGAGGGGTAATCTCTACTTGCCTCAATTTCAAGCAGATATCAGGAATCTGGCTACAAAATTTTAACTCGGTAGTATAGGGTCCCCTCTGTGCTGCTTAAAATATTCCTGCAGGTGTCCCGATTGTGCTGGTGTTGTGGAGAGCAGAACACAGCACAATCCTTCATGTGTTATGGCAGTGTCCGCAACTGAGACCTTTCTGGGATCAGGCCCGTGACTCTGTGTTTAAGTTGTGAATTTGGGTAACAGCCTATTTATTGCACTTAAATTGTTTTTTGTTTTTTTTTCTTAGATATCAGTATAAGTGTTCACTGCTGATGCACCAAGTGAATGCTGCTAGGGCCTATACTACATTTTGTTGGAGGCAGGACATTGCGGTTTTGGTTTGCTACGGTAGCCAACATGGAAAACCTTACTGCAGCATTACACCATAGGGAGGGACTATTCCATTGCACATGGTTTTATGGACACAGTTTACATACTCCCAAGAGTATAGAATAGTGATGTTGGAGGGGTGCTGCCCTATATAGTAGGTTTCAGAGAGTAGATTTTTTGTGGGTCGGGTGGGTTTGCGGCCTATCTTCTGTTGCCTTTGTACCCACCTATTCCCCTCCTTTTTCCTTTACCCTTCCTCAAATTCACCCTTTTTCTGTTTCTTTTTTTCTCACTCTCTATCTCAACTCTATCACTCTTCCTTTCTTTAAAGTTCTATAGCTCTTTTTGTGTTTATCTGGATGGGGATGTGTTTGACCCAATAGCAAGCATGTGGCAGACTGACCTTTTCACAATAATTGTGTTCTGTTATCTTCCTTTTGTGGATCACAGGTCATGTCATACCTATGTCTGATTTGGAGACTACTTTATATCTTGACATTTGCTTGTAGTGCTGTGTCTGTGTTTACATCCCTGTCCACTTTAAATGAATAAATAAACAATTTACAACAAAAAAAAGTTTATCTTGTAAAGTTTTTTTTCAGATCAGGTTTATACATAGGGTTGCAAGCTGTTCTGAACAATTTAAGTGAACAAACTGGGGACAGACAGAGTATATGCATTAACATACAGTGAACCACTCAAGCCTTGAGAGCTTTATCCCTTTGTTAGGACAGTGTTGAAATCTAGTTTACATTTGATATTGAGATCTGCCGACACAGTACAGATATGGGTAATCATGATGAACTTTACCTCCTCAGCCCCTTCTGTAACATTACATAAAATGTGAAAACTTCAGTCTTGGAGTTTTCAGAAAAGAGCAAGTAAAAAGGTTAGCAACAGTCTTTAAATATTTTTAAAGTTATGCTATGCAAATTGGAACGTGTAACAAATATAAGGTAGCTGTTTACCAATTTGGCTGCAAATACTCTTTAAAATAATACCCTCTAAAACTGGACAAAAGAGCACAGATGTAAAGATAACCCATACCAGCTAGCCAGTCAAATTCACTTTTTTTTTTAAAATGGGAAATGGAAAGTAAATTGAAAATGTTTTCCTTCTCTCCATTTTTAGAACACTCTTTCTTTCCCACAAGTATGTCATGTTGCATGTTGTAGACAGCATAGACAGAGGTGTTCAAACCTTTGTATTTACAAGCTTAACTGATGCATGTCCGCTTCAGATTTCACACAGATTGAAAATAATTATTACATATTTGTAAAATAGTGGGGGCATAAACTGCAAATTTGACTTGATTTTTTTCCTGTTCTTTATATTTAAATCAGTTATGAAATGTAATGAATAGATTTAACAAGCATTATATTATTATTTATTATTATTTTTTTAACAGATTGCAGATGTGGTAGAAATAAAAAGGCCAGATGGAACTTATCAAGAAGCTGTTATCAATAAATTAACTGATGCAAGCTGGTACACAGTTGGTAAGCATAATCTATGAGGATTTACGTGAAGCTTTAATTATCTTTATTATATTTGAATATTTAAAGCAGCACAACACCCTCAGCTTTTTTCTCCTTATACAGATCTACACAATAAACATTCTTCAATTGCACATTTATTAATGTTGTAAAAGAAAGTCTTACTATTTTAATCCCTTTAGAAAGTCTGCTGTGCTAGCTTCCGTGGCTTTTCTCTCCTCTCAGACTTGCTGTCACTTAGAAAGAGCCGTGCACACTGATTCTGGTCACATGCACATCTTTCTTTGCCAACAACTCCAATGAGACGGGAAGGAATCATTTGCACACAGCTGCCTCCTCCCCCTCCACACTAAACACACTGTGACAGTGTCACTGCTTGTAATCTCCTCTACAGTGCTCTGAATTATCAAAACTACTAGCAACAGCTTTACAACAAACATCAAATTTACAACAATCTACACAGAAAAAAAAACTTTATTTCAAATGTAGGAGCCTTATCCACTGTGATTCTGTGATCCGATTCAGCATGTGAGCTGAGACTCAGAAGAAAGTATGAGGCTGGTGGATTGATGAGTTGATTTTTTTATATCGTGTGAGTGTTGTAAAATAAAGAGCCTTACTAAGCCAGGTTTACACAGGTGCTGGTTTACACAGACCCATTCAGGCCAATAAACTATTTAAAATCCAGCTTTGGAGGGTCGCTTACCGGGAGTCTAAAGGTGCCCATACACTGCACGATTCTCGTACGAGAATCGCGGGAAATCCCGCGATCGTATGAGAATCGTGCAGTGTATGTAAGGCGTAAAGCATGCTTGAAAACCCGCCGGGAATCGTACGATTCTCGGCGAGTTGGTGGCCTGCTGGTTCGACAACTGCCGAACGGGCCGGTGTGCGCACGCGCACACTGCCCGTTTGCAGTCAGTGTAAGCCCGCCCCTCATTAGTCATCGCAAGCCCGCCCCTCAGGGTGCGCGCCCCTCGAGAGTGCGATCTGCCTGTCCAAGATGGGCAGATCGTACGTTTTTTTTTAATCCCTGGCCACCTTTAAACACATTCCTCCTTTCTGGGTTTCAGTGGTTGAGCAAGATCCATATTCAATTGCTTTTTTTACAGATGTACTGTACAATAAGATACAATATCATATTCTCAGAGGAAAAATGATGGCAGATAAACATCCTTTTTTCAGACATATATTAGGTTAGACAGCAATTAAAGTGTGTGAATACAATTAAATTAAAATGTAAAACAATAGATTTAGGGGATTTAGGACAATGAGGGTGAAATTTTAGTTTTATTCTGTGTGTTTATGTCCTCCCACTGCTATTTCTAGGGTCCAGTATTGTAGTGTTTCTCCTTTCTATTTGTTTCTTTATATATTCACAGTTAAATAGCATTATCTTACATCAATTTGGATTGTTTCTGCTTACAGTACCTGGTTGAACCTTCTAGACTCCCTTTTTCCTAGTTCAAAACTGACCACGCTAGCATTAATGTCTAGTGTCTCCTTTTAAAGAGCACCTGTCCTCAATAAAATGTTATTGCATAGTGTGCTTGTGAGCCCCCTATGTGATAGCAGTGAAGTAAAAAAAAAGACAGAAAAAATGTAAATTGAAAAAAAAAAAAACACCCTTAAAATTTGTTTAAGCCCCCTATCCCTGCTTACACAAACATGTGTCATGTGTGTCTACCTACTAAAATGACAAATTTACCACACATGTTAGATATCACCACTGTGACAGTGTATATGACAGTGAGAGGTTGGAAAGGGCAACTTTCCCTGGCTGAGACGGGGTTGAGCAGTTTTCCAACAGGTTCACCTCCTCCCTGTTAACCTGCACCTGTTATAGAAGGGGAGAGGGGGCGAGAGAGAGAAGGGGAGAGAGATCCAGGCTGCACTGGATGGATGCAGACACAGACTGGAGAGCGACTGAATACTTGTGGGATAAGGTCTGGCTAAAAATTGTATGTTAAAAACTGCTGCCGGAAGCTGTTTTGTTTAAAAGGGAGAAAACACCCTTTTGAAAAGACGGTTTATGTTTATTCGCAATAAAGCTGCATATACTGCAAATTCCACAGTACAGACAAGTGACTTTCTTTACTCCACATATGCTAGAGTGAGAACAATAATTCTATGGCTATTTTTGCGGTTAACTCTAAATTGATGACCTGTACAGGATTTTAAATATATGTGGGGTATTGTAGTCTTTCACCGCTTCATGGGCGCTCACAATTTTTTTTTTTTTTTGATTAACAATTTTTTATTTTTTTATTTTAAAGAAGCAGAATTACATGGAACATAACAGTGTACAGCAGTATTTAAGAGTGATGTATTCCAATTATAGTGCATTAAACATATAGCTAGTAATACAGATATTTCCAGAAGTTGGCTTCTAGATATTCCGTTATTCAGTACAATACAATTCGGTTGCTGGAGCAGTATTTTAGATCAGTACTATAGTGGTCTTGGACCATTATATCTACTACATTAGTTTATTCCAATCTTATATCTATTTGCATGAAGATAAGGAAAATAGGGAATAGGGAAAAAGCAAGCTTAGAAATGAATAGAATGAAAAAAGAAAGAGAGTCAGGAAAGATTAAGGAATAGATTTCCACTCGGGGGCATCGCTTAAAATAAGCCCAATCTCAGCAGGATAATCCTAGTCCGGGGGTCTAGCAATTAAGGAGTCCTCCAGTTCCTCCCACAATTCCCAAACCTTGTAATAGAGTGGTGTTGTATTATTTAATCTAGCCGTTAAGTATTCCATTCTCTGAACGTCCTTTACTCGATTTTTAAAAAGTCTGATTCTGAAGGAGGGTTATGTTTTTTTCCAGAATAGGGGTATGAGACATCGCGCTGCTGTCAACAAATGAGATGCTAGTTTTTTTTCATATTTATTCAGTTCTGAAAAAGGAAGGCCTAAAATGTAATAAATTGGGGAAAAAAGAAACATGCGCTTAAAGGTTTTTTACAAAATCGCGCTCACCATCCGCCAATATGATTGAATAGAATTGCAAGTCCAGAAAATATGTATCAAGGATCCTGAAGCAGAGGCACACCTCCAACATAGAGGTGAAATGTTCGGATAAATAGAGTGTAAAAATTCCGGTGTGTGATACCAGTGGTATAGGATCTTATACTGGTTTTCTTTGTATAATGAGCATACTGATGATTTTGAGGCCACACGCCAGATCGATTCCCACTGGGCTTGAGTAAGATCTAAATTCAGCGTTGATTCCCATTTGGTCATATATGGAAGCTTGAGAAATATTTTTGGGTCTGGGTCATTGAGGAGATTATATATAGTTGAAATCAAACCCTTAGAGGAACATAGTTTTGCACATATTTTTTAAAAAGGAGTGAGTTTATCAAATGTAAGAGTTCTTGTGATGGTTTGTGCTAGGTGTTTAATCTGGAGGTATTGAAATATAGTCCTGGAGGGGAGGGATAAGTTTTCCTGGAGTTGTGGGTATGATATGAGGGTCATAGTAGTAGAATCTAAGATGTCGTTAAAATGAAACAAGTGTCTATCTGTCCATACTGAGGACCAGGCTGTAGATAGTCCTGAGGGAAGGGATGGAGTTCATGAGAAAGAGGTGAGAGCTGAACTTTTAGAGGCCAAGTTGTATGTGTACCTATATTTGTACCATATGTCTCTAGTACATTGCATAGAGCTGAAAAGTGTGGATGGTGGTATATGGGGTGCGGAGGACCACAATAGAGAATTTGGGTGAACAGGTGAGAGCCACAAGGACTCAATCTCAGTCCAGGTATTAAGAGGTCTCACAGTACTCCAAAAAGGAATCGCCCTTAGTTGGGCAGCTATGTAATAATGAATTAGGTTAGGTAGCGTCAAACCCCTTTGAGTTTAGGTTTGTACAGTATGGACTGAGCGATCCTATGTCTGCCACCTCTCCACACAAAGTCCAAGATTTCCGTCTGGAAAGATCTAAGGTCTCTCATAGGAATACGTACTGGGAGGGTGTTAAAGTAATAAAGCATTTTTGGTAGTAATGTAATTTTAATCGCCGCTATATTACCAGTTAAGGAGAGGTGCAGTGCCCGCCATCTCTGTAGGAGACGTTTAAGTTCCATGAAGAGTTGGCTTGTAATTAGTAAGATACAGCGTCAATGTTTTAGGGGTAAGACAAACTCCTAGGTATTTCAAATGATCCGATTTCCAGTTGTAGGTAAAGGAAGTTTGTAGGAGGGATAAGACTGGGGGGAGTACATTTAATGGGAGGGCCTCTGTTTTGCCTACATTTAATTTTATAGCCAGATATTTCTGAATATAGTTGGAGTTCCCGATGGAGGTGGGGAAGCGATTGCAAGGGTTGTGTAACAGTGAGTAGCACGTCATCTGCAAATAGGGCTAATTTAAATTCATGATTTTTCATTTTTCAGAGAGACACGATGAATGTGGGGGGAGGCACGGATTCTGGAAGCTAGTGCTTCTATGCATAATACAAACAGACGTGGAGAGAGTGGACAGCCCTGTCTGGTGCCATTTCTAATAGGAAAAACTGAAGAAGTGGCACCTCCTTAATTTAATAATGGCTGAGGGTGTGGAGTACAAAGAGTTAACAGCTGTGGCGAATGGGCCCGTGATACCGATGTGAGTTAGTAGTTTTTTGAGAAATGGCCAGCTAAGTCTGTCAAAGGCCTTTTCAGCATCAAGACTAAGCAATACGGCCTCTGTTTTGGATCTGTTCACCACATCTATCAAGTCTATCATTCTACGGGTATTGTCACCCGCCTGCCTATTAAGTACAAAGCCTACCTGATCTCCATGTATTAGGCGAGGGAGAAGCGTGGATAGTCTATTGGCCAATATTTTAGTGAAAATATTGGAATTGAGTAGTGCAATTGGGCGATAATTTGCGCATACAGTGGCATCCTTATCTGGTTTAGGGAAAACAGTTATATACGATTGGAGGAATGTGGTCGGGATGATTTTACCCTCTAGGTATTGATTGTATAAGGCCGTTTGATAAGGGAGGAGA